TCTAGATCACCCCAGGACAGAAAAAATGGATAATGTTTCCAAGTATCCCTTTTATCTTCCTTTTGCAGGAAAGGGTGATCTTTTTAAATGAAAGTCATTCTTAGAGCTGCGTTATTAATTTAGGCATAGTATAAGAGTAAAAAAAGCACAGTAAAAAATTGTTTTTTGAAATTATACATCTTGACAAGTCAAAATGCATGATTTCTTTAAAATTACCTTTATTTGATTTTTTCAAGTTCATATTTAATATATTTTGATAAACTTTAATGACTTGTAACTCATTTATTGGACTCTTCAACAGCATTTTGTGAGGTAGGAAGTACTGAGCAGTTTACCCTCCAAATTCTAAATCTCATTGTTTTTGAAAATGCTGAAGCAGCATTGTGCAGTACTGCCATGCACATGCGCACAGGTGTGCGTCACTGGAAGTCAGTCCGCACATGTGCTGACGTCGTGACGTGCACCTGTACGGGCTCCATCAAGCCTGAGCATTCACCCTGTGTTCCCCAACCCACGGATGGCTCTCGCCACGCAAAGCCTTTGTTTTATTTAGTTCACCCATTTATTTGGGTTCCTGCTAGGTCACGTGTGAGTGGCGTCATGCCGCATCTGTCTTCCTCCACCTGGTGACTTCACTAAGCGCGACGCCCCGGGTCCGTCCATGTGGCCGCCGACGGTCGCGTTTCCTCCTTGTAAGCGAGCAGCCTCTGGGGGCCTTCGCTCACTTGCGGCAGGCAGGTGGTTTGCAGCCAGGGCGAGGCGTGCGCGACGCCTCCCTTCAGAGTGGAGGACTGTACCCGGGCAGCTGCTTAGCTGGGCGCCGGCTGCTGAATGCGGAGGGCTCCGTGCCACTGGGGACCTCCACCCCGTTCTGCAGAGGGACCCGCCAGCCGTGTAGGGGTGCCCTTCCTTCTCTTTTGGACAACAGCTGTTCCAACAGGTGTGAGGTGATCTCTCATTGTTATTCTGATTTGCATTTCACTAAAAATAAGAAATAAGAACAGTCTTTCCCAGGCCGCCGTCTGTCTGTCTCCTCAGGGGAAGTGTCAGTTCAGCTCTTTGGCCTCTTTTAAATCCAGTTGTTTGCTTTTTGTCTCTGGCTTTGGTTTCTGTCTCTGGGATACGAGCCCCCTTGGGCCGTCCTGCCCGGCTCAGTAACACACCTGTGCATTTGGGTGTGTGTTTCCTTCACCCACCAAGGCCTTTACTTGGTGGGGGCTCCATTTCCTTCCGCTTTGCCCCCCTCGTAGCCTTGCGGTCAGCGTCGAGGGCGTAGCAGTGTTCCCGCCGTGTCCTGCAGCCCCTCCGCTGACGCTAAGCGCGCCAATGGCGGCTGGCTCGCCCCTGTCCCTCCAACTGTGTTCCCCACCACAGTTCACCGACTTTCCCTGCTCCTTCGGAGGCTCTTGGCTCTTTTCCATAAATGAATACCGAGAGTTTCCTTCTGGGCCGCTGACCATGGGTGTGTGTTCAACTCTAGCACCGTGATTCTCAGTTTACTCTGGCAGTGATGTGGCTTCCACAGAGCCTGAGCTCCAGTGTGCTCTCTGTTTTATTCAGAGGCAAATCGGAGTATTGCCCTTTCGCTAGCTCATTGTGTGCATGTAGAAACGCTGTATTTTTTCCTGCTCGTTTTATAGCCTGCCACTTGCTGTTTGTGATGCTGTTTGTGTCCTCTTGGGGTTTGGTAACGCCTGCTCTGAAGTTGCCTATTACTATGGGTAAGGTGTCATTTTAACATTTAGTTCTTCCAATCCTTGAGCATTTCCTTGGTTGGATTTCCACATATTTAATTCTTGGTGATAGCATTGTAAATGAGATTGCTTACCTGCCAGCTCATTGTTTGTTTATAGGCACACAATAGGTCTTTGAGTAGTTTACCAGTTTATTATATCTAATAACCTTTTTCCCGGCTTCTTTGGGATTTTATGTGTATATGATGTCACCTAAAAATAGTGATAGCGCTTTTCCTTCTTAATTTGAATGCCTTTTGTATCTAAGTACCCTTGGTAGGTCTCCCCAACATTACACTGAATAACAGTCATGAGATACTTTATGTGGAAGGAAACCCTGTGTTCTGGCTGGGACCCCCAGCACGATAGTGACAGTGGACAGCCACAGCTGAGTGGAAAGAGAAAGCTTTCATTTGTTCTCCAGTGCGTAGGTGTTGGCTGTGGGTTGTCATATGAAGAGAGATGTTACCTTTCCAGACTCAGAGGGGACTAAATCACTGTGAAATGATTCTTCTATATGTATTTTAGATGATCATATGTTCACCAGACATTTCACTTTGTGTTTTAGTCTGGTATTGGGAAAAGTCTCTGGTTATGTGGTAGAATGCGGAAGTGAAACCATCTGCTTCAGGGCTTTGTGTTAGAAAACATTTGATTGTTGTTTCAGTTTCGCGGTTCACACTTGATTGCTATCGTCCAGATCGTACCATTTGTTGCCTATGGGTATTGCTGGTACTCCTTAAACATCTGATCTACCTTCTCTTTTGTTACAATCTAGACAGATTTTATGGCTTTGTTTGCTTCTTTCTGCCGCGCGTCATATACCCTTTGCTCTTAAGTGGAATGTCAATGTCCACTATGGGCCTTGCATTGCTATCACCGGATCCCTGTACCTCTGCTACTACTTGCTCTGTCCTGGCGTATCTGTTTCCGTAGAAAGTAAAACATTTATTTCCATGTGTCAGTTGTTCCCTTTGGTCTGCATAGGGTGATGGGAATGGGGGCCCCTGGTGCCCCATATACTTTGTGTGAAGGAAAGAGGACAAACTAGCATTTTTCTTTCCCATGTCAATTTTATTTCTGCATTTTCTGACTTTGTGGCTCATCTTGTTCAAGGCATCTTCATTTCAAAGAGTCACATCCATTGTGATGAGGGTGAGCTTTCGGGGAAATGTTGTGGAAGCTGTCATCCCCACTCAGTTGTGAAACAGACCTTGATTGGACAGTAGGAACATCGTGCTATTATTTAAACTATTACCACCACTGATGTGTAGTCAGGAATGTATGGTGATCCTCAAAACCTTCGGGAGGTGAGCCAGCTTCATCTTGCGTAACTAAAAAGTAGAAAGAATAAGTTACCTTTCTGAAATCAGACTCTGTAGCTATCAAATGTATTAGGATTGTGGAGAGGTATGATTCCCTGATTTGTAATTAGACCTATGGATAAGGAGGAATACGGACTTATTATACAAGAGGTACAATTTAAAGAGTATATTTAGGACAGTGGCATCAGGAACATAAATAGCTTTGATAGTCACTAAATGGTCAGATTAACCGGCTGCTCCACTTTGCAACAAAGGTGTTCATTTGAAATGCATAAAAATTTCAGTGAGCTACAGCTACTCAGCAAGAAATAGACAGCAGCAGGAAGAGAGACAGCCCCGAGTAAACCCACAATTCAGCTTCCAGAGGCTCTTGATACTGGTAATTTTCCACTGCCCTTAGGATTTTGAGTTCCTTCCAGAGGGATCTCAGCAGTGGCCACCTGCCAGGAGAGAACAATGTGTAAGTGACGGTGCCATTTCTAGCAACCTGTGTAGTGCAAAGAGGCCTCTATGCGTTTCACTTCTCTCCTTTTGAGAGAGTCACCACTGGCCCCAATCGCCCATAATTCACTGATTGACACACAGGGTCACCTGTTGCCTGGAAGCTCCCAAGAGTCCTCAAAGTCTTCCACAGCATGAGGCGTTTGGGGGTCCTCCTTTGCCCACACATTGGTGGGCTGGATTCTCCCTAGGGAGTCCTTATTTATCATTTCCTGAGTGTCTTAAGTAGGGTGACAGGTAGAGCAGGTTACATTCTGGTTTAAAAGACATCTGTGGTGTTCTGTTCACAAACTTGGATCTAATTGCTCGGGCACACTTTTAAGCATATCATACCTTATAAAATAAGTGTGCTTTGAAGTACGGTTTCCTAGCTGGTCATGCAGAATAGAATGGTGTTGTGTGGCTAAGGTTAGTGTGCTGGACAAATGTCACGTACCTGAGTCTGGCTGTGGCATCTCCGTGATCACTGTCCTTTCTGAGGGTTTTGCTTTGGGGTGCTGCAACAGTATTTCAGCAATACAAACTCTCGCCAGACAGGCACCATGTAGGTAACTTCTCTCTTCTATCCCATGCCAGGTTCAGGGCTGTGATTTTGTTGCCCCCCCACCCCCAAATTCATTCCTTGGGCCACACAGCTGAATGGCTACAAATGAAAGTAGTCGCTAGCTTGAATTTTTAAGGGGTGCTTTCAAAATATTCAGGCCTCTTGAGAGAAGCGCACATACTGTGCCGTCACACATTGTGCTTTGTAGAAAGTCTTTTTGGAAAAAAGTGGCACTCTACTTTCAAAATGCACTTTCTCCCTGACCTGCTAAAGCTTGTTAGGTCCACCTTGGCACTAGCACTGCCTGTCCCCAGTGGGCTCCTGACTGAGGATGTGGCTCTTGGCCCAGAGGCAAGGGCCATCCCTGCTGCAGACATCTGGACAGTTGGCTGTGGGACCTTACCTGTGCCTTGCTCAGCGCCTCACTCGTCTCCTCCTGAGCGCGGTGGCTGGAGCAGTCCGGCCACGTCGGGTCCTCGCGCCTTCCCTCAGCATCGGGGACACTGCAACCCTCCCCGCCGTGCGTTGAAGTAGATGGCATCGGTGTTTGTGCATCCCATTTGAGGGAGCTGAACCCTGCAGGACGGAGCGGCGAGAAGGCAGTGGGGTGTTATTCCTTACAAGACAGTTCTCATTTCTGGAGCTTACCGTTACATGACTGAGTGGCTGCTTGCTCCTGTTGTGGTTAGGGGTACAGCGCTGATGAGCTGCTCTCTCAAATGTCTCCAATAACCCAGCAACTTGTTTTCAACACCACGGTTCACAGAGCTGAGTCTGAACCTGTTGTGCTTACTGGCCGTGTGTCTTCCCTGTGGCTGATGGACACGTCGACTGCTGCAGGGTGTTCATCTGAGACGTGTGTGTAGTAACTGTGTGGGGTTCTCTCCTGGTTTTCAGGGTGCTGGGTGCACAGCCCTGGTGGTCGCCGTGGTGGCGAGGAAGCTAGAACTTACCAAAGCAGAAAAGCACGTGCACAACTTCATGATGGACACTCAGCTGACGAAAAGGGTAAGTCACCCCTGCTCCCTGAAGGGACAGCACACGTCTCCCCGTGGGCATGAGGGCGCCCACCTCCACGCTGATGCAGCGATGACTTGCTGTGCAGTGAGGCACTCTTGGAATCAGCTCCGCTTTTTTCCACTCTGAGGACAGACCACTTCTAACTTACCTGGCCTCTGAGGAAAGAATTGGGCAGCTGTGGGGTTGACTCAAGGGTCAGCACAGACCCCATAGGTGTGCAGAGCAGTTCAGCTGGCAGGGTCCCCTCCCTGCAAGGAGAAAGATCACATCGGCAGTGTTCTGGCACCAAAAACATTCTCCTCTCACACTGGGGGGAGGTACTATTAGGTCCATTTTAACAATGTGGACTCCAAGACACAGAGGTGAGGTAACTCGCTGGAAGAGGAAAACCTATGTTGGGAGGAAAATATTTTTTATCTCCCTCATTTTGAGACTTTCTTCCTAGTCACTTGACATACCAAAATAACAAAATCAAAAATAACTAAAAATGACTTTATAGTAGTCATCTTTCTATAAATAACCACTCCCCAATCAGGCTGTCATTGAGCTAACACAGTATGTCAGCATTTGCTAACTTCATCCATAGTAGAATCAATCCAGCAGAGTTCCTGTTCTGTGTCTTCATCCACTCTTGATTGTATGGAAGTAGTAGACATAAGTACTTCCTGAGAACTCAGTCATTTTACAGGGCCCATTTTTAAGATTAATACTGATGTAATGAGGAATGAACGCAGACTATCATCTTACCTGGTCAGACAGTGGTAGGACACATCTGTAGCTGGCCCACATTTCTTTCCTTGGCCTTCAAAGTCATTCAAGTGTAGAAGCCACACATTAGCCGGACTTACCACCCGGTCTCCTTATAATTTTCTTCCAACTTGTGCCCATTTCTCAATATTACAGAAAAAGTACATGGAAAATAGAGGGAAATTAGTAAGCAAGGAGCTCAGTTGAGGGCTAGTATCAGATTGTCAGCCCACAACTAACCCCAAATGGTGGCTGATGTTTCTATATCTCATCCTCTGGGGTAACTTTAGCCACTTCAAAAGAACAGTCTCTGGCATCATTTTTATGAATTTAATTTTCAAGGCATTCATGCCACATTTTATGCTATTATGCCGAAAAATACCATTTAAATGGTGAAAATGCACTCAGAAATACTCTTTAGACCATGTCTCCTCCCTCTTAACCTCCCTTTCTTTACTACTGACCGCTACCTTTGAGTGATCACCTCTAGGAGCCAGAAAGGATGACAAGGCCCTTGCTAGAATATCTCCATCACCCTACAGCTCCCGGCCTACTACGCCACCTTTGGAGGTGTTGAGAGACACCCCCCCCCCGACTTTCACTCTGGACAGAGTCCAGCGTGGTGTTACACGCAGTTACTTGAAGTGCGGTGTCGGCCTCTGCTTGTCCTGGGCAGTGCAGGGCGGGTGCTGGCTTCCTGTCACAACAGGCTGTCTGCACTTGTCCCACGAGAGGACCCCGCTGTACCTTGGTGCTCCTCAGAGGAGTGGAGCCTGACGAGTCTTCAGTCGATCTTGGACTTTAGCATGTTGTCACCTCCGCTTCCTTGGAATCAGAAAAATTCATCTCACCAACATAGCCTATGTAGTACACTTGCATTTCTGCTTAACAACTGGGGAAAAAGAGCCCAAATATTTTCAAGGGCTCAACAACTGTAAGCTTTTATAGTGTTGTCCCCTCAGAAAATGAGTGTCAAGCCATAGGGTTTTCTCTGCTTGGCAACACAATGAACTTGTCCCGTTGCTAAGGTTACACATGCGCTCCCAAAAGTGCAGTCGGGGTGCCTTTCAGAGGCTTGGGGATCCTGATGTAAGTGCTTCGGATACTATAAATTTCTGTATTTACTGTCGCTGGAAAAGTCAGATTGTGTGTAGGATGTCTTTGTGGTGAGTAGTAACCTACTTCTCAGTTTCCAAATGCACTTTCTCTATGATCTCATAATGCTCTGCTAACTCCATCATGCCAGTAGTACTGCTTACCGGAACCTCTCAAAGGTGTGAGAAACACATCCAACAGATCGATTTTCGTGAGATCACTGGAAGTTCAAATGTTAAAAATGGCAATAGAATCACACAAGTTTGTTTTAAGATACCCATTCTGTTATTATATGCTATCAATCATAACATTATAATCCTTCCATAGTCTCCTGCATTATTTTATACACAGCCACTAACTTAATGAGCGTCAAACATGATTCCCTTTTTTTATTTAAAAAAATTCTAACTGGGTCCACTAATATTCACCTTTTAAATAAGCACTGTAAAGTGTTAAATGGTCATGAAGGATTCTGAAGAATAAGGACTTAAAAAGCTTATACATAGTAACTGAAAGACAAATTAAGAGCACAAATCCAAGAGTTCTAGAGGAAAATTACAACTCTGCTCTGGAGTACTACCTAGAAAAGATCTTATTCCTGGTAAGCATGAGGTAAAAAGATCACGGCTGTTACAAAATTGGAATATGACCCCCAAAAGGCCACAGGAATGTTAATAGCCATCCAGGAACAAAGGTAACTTTTCAAGCCTCCCAGGGTGACTCTTAAATGAACACACAAGGAGACGCCGCTGGCGTGGAGCAGGATGTGTGCTCCGTGTCTCTGCACACGGACGGCACTGCCACTCAAACCTGGCTGACAGGCCACGTGCCCAGAGTCGCCAGTGGCTTCAGTAGGAAACCTCCACGGCACTGCAAGTCCAGACACTCACCTCACGGAGCCGCTGTGTTGGTTGACCAGCTACTACTTATAGTCATGGAGGTTGAAATGTCTTCAGTTTGACAACCTAAAAACAGGCAATTCTGAGATTCTATGATTTTGAAAGGCCCTAGATGTACTACTGCAAGGGTCCATCTAATGTCCCTGAGGGTGTATCCAGAATGCTCAATAAGGTCCACAATAAGAACACTAATAATATACAGCAATGTAATTCTGTTTCCTGGCTAGCTCCTAACAAAGGAACCAAAATCATCAAGGACTTACTCTGGCTGCTTTCCCTCTGCCTGGCCCCTCCCCCACCGCAAGGGTCATGGTCTCGGGTGCCAAGGGTCTGTGGGGGCAGCCTGCAGGAAGAGGAAAGGAAAACGGACTACAAAGGAGCCTGGGAGTTTAATAGGTCACACAGGTTTGGGAGATGCACAGCGCCAGTTAAAAGGCAGCCAGTTTTAGGGACTCGTGAAAGTACTGTGCTGCACTTACAGGGATTCTAGCTTCCTCCCTTGCGGCTTTACAAGTTCCTCAGCTCCTACTTTATACATTTTAAGGGCCTCGGGTAAGCACCGTTTCTTTCAATATTGTTGCTTTTGTTTTCTCAAGTGTTTATTAAAATGCCTTTCAAGGTTTTTTCTGATTAACAATTAGTAAGAAAAAACAAGTATTATCTTTGTGTCACCTGGGCAGGAGTTGGGGGTTCTGTTAAGGACATCCCCTCACTTTCTGAAGTTGAAGAGGCTGTATTCCACAGTGGCCCAGTAGAAGAGTCACAGCTACTACCTTTTTTACCCCTTGTAGCAATGCACACACTCAGTAAATGTTTTTAATTAATTTATGGAAAAATCACTCAACATCTCTAAAGAGGTTTAACTATTCCTATCAAAAAGGGCCTTGCATTAAGTCAGCATCTTAGGAGAAATGTTTATGATGCAAGCTATCCATATCCGTGCCAAATTTAATAGCAGTAACATTCACTTAGTCCCAACTACACACCCATAGCACAGCCAGGAGACACAAAGATTGCTGGGTTGACCGCGAGTCTCAGCACCCAGGACTCGCACCTGCACGGACGAAGGGAGCTACTTCCACATCGACTTCCCGCTCACGGACACAGCTGCGAGCACACAGATCCACTTTTCCGCAGCTTTTCCTGTATTTCTCACAAGTCACTTCATCTAGCAATCCCCACTGGCCAAGCTGTAGAACACGCCCACCTCCTCAGCACGCTTTCAGCCCCAAGAGGGGCTGGAACTTACCTACCATCAGAACACCTCTGCTCCCAGAGGGTGCGATCTGCGGTCCCGCTCACTGTGCTGTGGCTGCCATTCTGCAGAAGGGCAGTTGATACGTCGCTCTGTGGTTTTAGTCCTGTGCCCCGGCACCTCTTAGGAAACTAGAAGGAAACTTACAAAGGGTATGTTTTGGAGTAAGTGCATACATTTGAAAAATTCTAAAAGTAGCTGTGGGGGGTTTCATTTTCAGCATGTCAGCTACACTGATTCACAAATGAACCAAAATCAGTAAATGCAAATTCCCACAACAGAGGCCCGCCCTCCCCCACCTCTGAGGGAAGTGCCCTGCCTCTAGCTACACCCCACCATCCCCAAAAGAAAGTCATTTAAAATACTTGGAGGAGAGGCAGGAAGTCATCTATTTCAGAGTTTACAGACTTCAAAAGTAATTTGGCACTTCCTATTTCTGGACGGGAAGCCAAAGCAAAATCAGTCGCTGATTTCTCTCCTAAACATCGACATAATCTTCTCCAGTGTTCATCTCTCTACGTCTGTCCAGTGTTCCAGCTGCCTCACCCTTCCCGTTACAGGCTGCTGCTCAGAGGAACCCTGGTCAGGGAGTCCAGGCAGCCTCCGCTCAGCGCCTGACCCTGACCCGGCAGCCGTCCTCTGGCCCTTGAAAAGGACAGCAGGGGAGAGCTGGCTCCTACCTCCGTGGGGAAGGCTCGCTGGGACAGCCCGACTTTTCCCGGGGATGGTGGCCATCTCCTCTTCGCTTTCCTTGCTGACATGAAGCAGACAAGCACACTGGAACCCACAGTTTGCATGTAATCCTACAACTCTTATTGTAGATCTGAGAGCTGAAAAGGCTTTAACACTGGCCCTTCCTGGCTCTCGTGGCTGAGAAGGGAGAGCTAAGGCGCCACCAGGGGACGAGCGAGACCCCCGCTGACGTGGCTGCTTACCACCCAGTACTTATAACCAGCTCTTCAAGAGCGGCTCCGCGCCCCACTCTTGTCCTCCAGCCGGCTCAGCTCCCTGCTTGTGCCCCGACTGTCACCCAGGCCTGTGAAGGAATCAGCAGGGCAACCTGTCAGAGTAAGTACCTGGCTGCAAAGCGGGGAAAGGTCTGGTCATCATCGGGGACAACACAGTCTGTCCCTGACCTCCGTCAGGTGCCCGTTTTGAACCGTTAAGCAAGAAAGCCAGGCCGGTCTGTCCAGACCACAGCTTCCCGAGCCGCCCGTGGGTGTGGGCACTCGAGCTCTTCCACAGCTCCCTGTCACAAGCTGCCCTGCCGCGGAGAGGGAGGGCGGGCGGGCCCCTCGCGCCTGCGTCCCGGTCTTCTCTGTGCAGAGGTGTAGGCGTGGACTGGCCGACCCTGTGGCAGGCGCCCTGTTAGCTTTGAGAACCCGCCCACTTGCACAGGCACTGGATGGCCGAGGCCCCGTGAGGCGCTCACACCTGCCCGCTCCCGGGCCGTAGCACCCCGGAGCTCAGTCCTGCCCCACTGCGGTGCACGCTGACTGACTGTCCAAGTGGAACCGCACGTGGCCGTGAGCCCAGGCGAGTGCTCACGTGTGTGCAGCCGCTGGCCAGAGCGGCTCTGCGAGGCTGGAGGGCCCCCCACCCCCACACTCCATGGCAGGGCGTGGCGGGCGGCGGACAAGCTCGCAGAGGCCTGGACTAGCTCCGCTTTCAGGCGTCTGGCTTTCCTCCAGGGAACATGGAGAGAAGGGCTGAAGTGTCAGAGGGAGACAGCAGGCCCAAAGGTTCCTGATGGGGTAGGGTGGAGTGTTGCCCTGAGAGACATCGGCCATTCCCTCATGCTTCAGGTGACCTGTTGGCCCCACACAGAGCCTTAAGAAAGGTGCAGATTCAAGAAAAAAAAATCATTCTTCTAGAACTGTTGGAGCTAGAGCGCACCACGATCACTGAGATGAAGAAAATGATCCCAAGCCACACTACGAGGCCTTTTCCTCTGAAATTTATCAACTGCTGTTTTTGGTTTGTTTTCCTAACAGGTGAAAAACGCAGCTGCCAATGTACTCAGGGAGACATGGCTCATTTACAAAAATACAAAGCTCGTCAAAAAGATAGATCATGCAAAAGTAAGGAAACATCAGCGGAAATTCCTGCAAGCTATTCATCAGTAAGTGCCACATTGCTCCTTACCCGGCTTTTGTATTCTCGGGTTTAATGCTTACACTTGGTAATTCTTCTCGCATGAGGGAGAAAAATGTAGAACATGTCTTGTTTGTTACGGAAGACATTATTTGGCAACTTAAGATTCCGTAAATGAAATCCTGAGAAAAAAAGTTTTCATATGATTAAAAATCATTGATTGGGGAGCGAACAGTCATTTCATGTGTTATTTAGAATATCTTCTCAGTTGCTCTCTAGAAGCAATAATTCCAGTTAAACCTGTGTTTCTTAACTTAAATGACTTACTCATATAGTTTGTTCCCAGATGTTTACTGTGTATCTGCTGCAAAATGTTAAAAACCAACATGTTATGATAGAGCTGAAAATCTTTAAAGCAGTGCTAAGCCTCTTTCTATGAACGCAGTACCATTGGCATAATGCTGGAACTTTCTATATGCTGTATTTATGTGAACAGCTCCCATCTCAACTATCTTAACCTCTTTCATCATTATGTTGACATCAGCCAGACCACCATTATTCCAGTTGAGTCCGTCATGCCATACCATTTTCATTTTGGGCCTCTTCCACCTCCAGTGACCTCACTTTTACAGTCAGGCATGTAGGGGTTGTTCCTCGTTTGGTTCCGTCTCTGTTTTGCCATTCCACTGTGACACGGTGTAACCCCACAGACAGCTCTAGCGTCACCATCCTCTGAAAGCCCCAGCCCTTCCTCCCCCGGGCAGTGCCATCCTTACCGTGAGTATGTCCTCGTGGTGCCACTCAGCATGCCACAGACACCTGCTCTTCATTCGCCACTTCCCTGTGGGGAAGAGTAGACACGTTTGTGACTGCGTCAGCTGAGGGGCCTGTTTCACGCAGCCTACCAGGGTGTCACGGAAAGGCGGGTGAGCGGCTAGGTCCTGGAAGGCAGCCGTGAGAGGGCGCCTGACGCAGGCAGGAGGCGAGAGCTCAGGCTGCAGGTTCTGTCCAGCCTATCTGAGTCTCGCCCACCTCACACGTGACTCTACCAGTCAGCGGGTAACAGAATGTTCAGTGTCTGCCAGTTGGCCAGTCCGGCCTGCTGCGCTTTTAAAATAGGCAGCCCTGACAATGTGCCACACCGCGGAGGGGTCCTCCTGTACAAATTGACCTTCCCTCAGGAGCTTCAGGTCCATGTGCCCTGGGGCTCCCCAGCGCGGGAGGCCCAGGCGGACAGCACCTCGCAGCGGCTCACATCCTCCTCCCCGACAGCCAACGACACAATGCCGTCTCCAGGGCTGCGCCTTGAGTGTACACTCAACTCTGCTTTCAGCCCACTGTCAGAGCAAGATAGGCTACACTGGCAATACTAAGTCTGGGAAAGGGCAAAAGGAAAACCAGAAAGAAACAAGAGACTCAGTCTGGCTTCCCCGAGGAAGCTCTCCCAACACAGGGGGACTCCTCGAAGTCACATCCCAAGAGGTGCTGAGGCTGCCCCTTGACTTCCATGGAAGACCTGTGAGGAAAGACGTGCTCTCTGAGGGCCACCTGGTACTCCTCTATTGGCAGAGTGGTCATCACTACACCCCCAATCTTAGCACACTGCCACCCCAAGTTCATGTAGGAGGGCCGCACACTATGCTGGAGAGAAGCCATCCTTTGTACTTTAAAAGCCTGCAAACTCACCTCTATTGTGTGAGAAGGCACATGGGTCCAGGCTGGGAAGCGTGGCAGGACCAGGAGAGGGTGCGTGTGGCTAGTCTGTGTCAGTGTGACCGAGGCACTGGCATCTGCCTTGGGTGCCTTCATTTCCATGTCACCAAAAACCCCAAAGGGCAAAAGCTCGGATGGTCTTTGTCACAGCCTTCTGTAGCCTGTGTCAGTGCTGGGCGTGTGTCTGCGTGTCGTCCTCACACTCAAGCGTGAGCACTAAGAATTGGGGAGCGGCGTAGCAGGTTCACTCAGGTTTGCTGTAGGTCTGAAAGAGGCAGGGTAACATGTTAGGAGATAAAGCCATGGGCAGACCGCTCCCAGCACGCCTCCAGGGTGCCTGGTGTGGGTGGCGGCGTGGAGTGTTGTCTGCTTGGAGACGGTCCTGGTGGGAACCGAGTGTGCATCTTCTGTTTCTCTGTGTGGTTTGTCCGTGGCCCGGCCTGCTTGTGGAGTAAGACAGCTGCAAGCAGCTCAGGGAAGTTCAGAATGGGTTTGCAACTTCCTCCTGGGGGGAAATGGGTGGCCCGTGTGGTGGGTGGGGCAGGGAGAGTGGGCCCAGCTGGGCATAATGGCCTTTCATTGTAACTGGGTGAGTGACATCATAAAGGAACGCACACAGGGCTCGATTCCTCAGGGCCAGGCCGCACTGCCCTTGGGCCCAGTGACTCCAGCCTTGCTGCCAGCACTGGGGGAAATCCCATCTTCTGAGCTGAGGCAAAACAGATCAAGTCATTTACGCATTTGCTAGAGAGCTCTCCTGGCCTCTCCTTTTCTCTGATTACTGCACCCAAGAGCTTTTCCAGTAACGCTCTCTCCCCTTCTTGCAGCGTCCCTCTCGCTCACCTCTTCACTCCTTTTCAAGCTTCACAGCTTCTCTCCCCAACACCTGGCCTTTCTGGTCTCGATGGGTGCCGACTTCACCTGACTCTGTCCTCTTTTCAGTAAACCGTCTGTCCGGATTGTCACTTACTGCCATGAGGCATTCTGTTGCTGTAACTTTAAACCTTTCTCTAGTAGCAGCTTGTGACCTTGAAATCATTCTTTTAATCTCAACTACAGACCCATTACTTAACATGACCTTGAGCGTAATTGCTGGAACATATCCGATGACCAGTCTTGCAGAAAGCGGTCTTCTAAAATGGCCCCAAATCCAACAAGATGTCTCCCCTGCAAAAGAAAAAAAAAAAAAAGACAACCCTGTGGCCTGAGATACGCTCTTCCCTCTTCCTGATGATTGGCATCAGCGCCCCGTGTCCCGGGGCTACGCTTGAGCACCACGCAGCCAGAGGCCAAGACGGCTTTGCAGCCGAGCTTCCTTTTCAGCCCTCACTCTGGAGGACGCTGAGCGCCCCCCGGGGGCGGGGGCCACAGAGCACCTACAGAGAGGGCTGGTGCTGCAGTTGCAGACTGCTGCTCTGACCAATATGCCAAAATCCCACAGAATCGTAACAGCATCTTCCAGCTAATGAATCGAGCCCCCTGTGCACAACTGAACCCCACACTGTTTGACTTTTTTCCAGAATATTTTACAGTTTCTTTTCTTTTGTTTTGTCTTTTTATTTCAACAAAATGAAAATAGAGCTCGGAAGTAAGTTGTGTGAAGTGCTCCGCTCAACATTTGCAGAATTTTCTACCGGCTGCATGCACCCAAGTGGATCCTTTACTTGTGAATTTTAGTAGTCTGATTGCTGCTATGGAAATGTGATCCAAAAATCATGATATTTTCCTGTGATAAGTGAAGTTCACAAGGAAGAAATCAACATATGTTTCTTATTCTTCTGGGGGGGGGAGGGAGGTGGTAAATACACACGTGCATGTTACCTTTTATTCTGGCAGCTGCAGCGCAGGTAGAACTATTCTGTCAGCTTCCGTGCAGACAGGAAGCCCAAGGAGATAGATAGGAGAGAGGATCGAGGGTCATGGAGCTAGGGAATCTCAATCAAATAGGGAATCTGCAGCCTTCTAGGTTACCTGATCATAAAATGGGCAAAATTCTACTGTCAGACACCTAACTGAGTCATCCAAGAAGTGCGTGAGGCCCCGTGTTTGGGGAGAGTGCTCACCCCAGCGAGGCGCCCAGCCCAAGCCCTTCCACGAGACGCAGCTAGGACCTTCTGCGCGCCCACACATCGCCGGAGGCATCTGCTCCGATGTCTCCAAACCTCCGTGGCTTCTGTGCCAGCTTACTTGACTGGAAAGAAAGCTTGATGTGACTCCCTTCAGAAATGCATAAAAAGATACCTCACCCCCTACAAGGCGAGGTGAAGCGACATTCTAACACAGGGATTTTTAGCCACAGGCTCTGGCCTGCAGGAAAGCTCAGGGCTGAGATCCTGCTCTCTCTTTTTAAAAGGGAGAGAACTGTAGGTGTTCAGACTTCAAGGCTGGAGAGAGCAGCCTGAGACACTTTCTTGTCGTTATCAAACCTTGGACGAGGATTCAAGAGCACCCCAGGTCTTTCCGGCCATCACGGAGTGGACTGTCCAGCAGCCGGCCAGCACACCTGTGGGGCCTTTCCGTTCCCTAACAGGGAGCCCAGGTCAGAGCAGCACCGGGAAGGACTGGCGCCCACACCTCCGCTGTCCCCCGCTGCACTCTGTAACATGTTTCTCAGGATACAGTGTATTTTACCACGCTTGCAATCTTTTAGATGAGCACATACTCCATCTCTCTGGAAAGACCAAGAGGCTCTAAGCATTTTCATAGAGAAACGCAGTGGCAGTGACCAATTCGAACCCTGAGCTGCGTTACACTGCTGGAGACTGGTGTGGGCGCACCGGCAGGACGGGCTGCCACTGCGGAGCAGACCTGGCGACATACTGGATATCCGAGTTGGACAGCAAAATCACTAAACCTCACGAGCATTTGTCATAAAAATATCTCCCTGGCAGTAAAATCTTGCCCTGTGAATTTTGATTCCTTCTATGTAATTACTTTTCATTGAAATTGAGAAATCATAAAAAGCGCTGATCAGCATTAACATTATTCTCTGTAAGATGAGTCACCACCGAGGTAGTAAGGTGAGCGTGATTTTCCCTGCCCCCCAGTAAGTAGTTCAGAGAGACGTGGTTCTCTTTCTGAGCAAAACTGAAATTCTGGTTTCAAGCAAACTATTTTTGGAAAATCTTACTTTCTTGATATGTGCATTGAAATATTCCAATCAACAAGGAATAGTGAGATCTCATTCAGAAAGCCATTTTTTTTTCTGAACACTAACTTGCAACTATCAATCATATATGTGCAGTGATATTTCAAAGAATCTAAAAGTACCTTTGCAAGGAGAGAGCCCATCTGTCAGACGCTTTAATTGTTGTCTCACTTTTATGTACGATAAAAATCGAGGGCAGTTCTCCCAAGGAAACGGTCTGACTTCTCTCCAGAGTCGATGCAGTTTGAGATGAAAGCCACAGGAAAGACAACGAAGAATAAGAGAGCTATGTTTTGAGTTATCTTGCTGCTGGTTGAATAAAAGTCTTCTTTTTGCTAATAAGAATCTCACTTATCACTGTGTTTCATCAGGTGCAAATACCTAACCCAACCCATCTCAGACTAAACAGGGCTCACGCCTGTGTCTGGTCACGTAGGCATAGGAAGGTGCTCGCTGCCCAGCCCGTGGGCACTCCAGTTGCTTTGCATACTTCTTCCTATGTCTATCTGTCATGATACTGGAGCTTGAAGGAATGTGTTGGCTTTTCTCATAAGGTTCAAACCCTATGAGCCCTTCTCAATTCAACTTTAACTACCTGGTACGTTGTTGTCCTAAGGACACCTCATCTTACTCTCTCCCTCCCTTGGTGGTGTCGGGGAAGCATGCTTCTCATTGTACCAGACACATAACCAGTTTGGACTTTACCCCAGTGTTCAAGGCATTATCCATGCAGTTACTTGCTCTTGTCAATTTTGTGCATGCTCTTTGGAAGGCGTGAGATAGCCACAGAGCGCAAGGAACTGTTCTGACTTCAGGTTCTGTCTTTTAGATTAAGAAGTGTAAAAATGGAGCAGCGGAAACTGAATGACCAAGCAAATACCTTGGTGGACCTGGCAAAGGTAAGCGCGGCAGCTCAGCCCCCGACTCTGAGGGACCTCACCACTGCCCAGCACCCAGTCAGGCTGCCGGGGCGCCCGGCCCGACTCCGTCATAAACCGAACCACAAACCGCACTCAGAGATTTTCCTAAAGCTCTTGCTCCCGTATATACTGTAGTCCACACCCATCCGAAAGGCGGTCTTCTTGCTGTAGTTTGGAAGTACCGCGAGATACAGAAGTAGCATGTGGGACCATACCTTTGCGGATCCGACTTGTAGCAGCTTCTTGTCCTTGAGGGCAGAACTACATCCTGGCGTGACTGTGACGCTGCAGTGAATCCTACAGGGGACCAATCAGTGCAGTTAACACAGAAGACTGTCAAGTTCCCATTAGACAAAATACCAAAATTATAACTCAGTATCAGAGTTGCCTTTCAAAGGAAGTCATCACTCTGTTTGACATGTAGCTCTTCAGATCCTGCTGGCACATGTTCAGGTCAGCCCGGTGAGCCCGGCTTACCCAGGGGGCTGCTGGCTCATCGGGTACTGCACTGTGTGCCGTCTCCCCACCGACTGCCGGAGAGGCTGCACACCTCCACCCACAGTGGATGAGTGCTGCTTTTTCTGCACATCTTCTTGATAAAATGTGAGAATAAATGTGATAGTGCTTGAAAATACATGTTCCTCTAGTAGCGGTTAGAATAAAATCTCCCAAACATGTAGCTTGTTTGGGAGCAGGGCCTGTGATGTGGCATGTAAGAGAACCTGCATGCGGGGAGGGAGCAAACGGGGGCTGTGAGAGGTCCATCTGCCAGGGGACTCCTGGAGAAGCAGAAGTGCCCAGAGGCATGAGGAAGAAGAGCAGAGATCAGAGAGAGGATGGTATAGGTGGGCTTGGCCCTGTCCGATAGATGGGAAGACAGGAAGAGAGAGATGGAAAGAGAAAAATAGACCACAGAAAGAAAGAATGACAAATAAGAGAGCGTCAGAAAGGCAGACAGAAAGAGTGGAAGGAGGAGAGGACACTTGTATAGGGAATGACAGCGTTCTAGAAGTAACAGCCGTCTTAATTGTACTACAGGGGCGCCTCAGCTGTCTTCGTCACTCTGAGTTTGAGAGGGAGCTGCTGTCAGGGTCAAAGCCAGGGAAGAGAAAGGAAAGCAGCAGCGCCGACACAGGTCTCACGCGCACAGGAGACCGTGTTCTCCAATCTGGGGCCACGTCTGTGCTGTTAGAGCTGCTCTGACCTACTAACCCCCTAAATAATTTCCTTCTGTTCCCCATTGCTGAGGACCCCAGCTCCCTCCCTGGTCTGTGCTCTCCTGCCCAAGTGCATCATAAACCCCACGGTTGTGACGCGCAGCAGGCATGAGAGGTCGGTTGCCAGGTCCCAAAGCCTCATTCTAACCTTAAGGAGAATGGTGACCTTCAAGTTTCTGGTCTGTTCTTTCCCCATGCTCTGGTTGATTTAGAGTCCATGGTAGCAGCCACACTCACCCACCCAATGTGAGACTCTGAAATTTCAAAGCAAATTAATCAACTTTTGGGTTTCATCAATTCTGCAATATCACAGAACACGCTAAGTTTTCTGGTCATAAAAGATAATGTCCACACTGTGATATAGCCCCGTAATGGGCGGGCTGAGGGGGCTCTGGGCAGCAGGGAGAGGGTGACAGGACACTGCATTACAAAATCTCTGGAAAGGCTTCTCTCGGAGTCAGCCTCAGGAGTGCCTGACGTGCAGGCGTAGTGACAGCACGTCATCAGTAACTGGTAAAGATGAGTCAAGCAAAATAAATGCTAATTCCTCCTGACTCAAAAAGACTATGAGGATGGAATCTCAGTCATTATTTTCAAAAAGTTCCCCACAAGTGCTGCTCAAGAGATGAAACATCACCAAGCGTATGACCGCTTGAGAAATACGGAATTCGAAGACTTCCCTAGTTGTGAGGTGAGAGGAGAATGACCAGACGCCAACTACAGTAACTGGGGGTGAAGGTCGAGGTGAGTGTGATCTCACGCTCAGCCACGCGCTCACTCAAGCTCGGGGTTTCAGCCATCACAAAGATAAACTCACTGCAACATGGATGGAGCTGGAAGGGATCATGCTCAGTGAGAGAAGCCAGAAGAAAAGGAAAAATACTGGATGGTTTCACTTAGAGAAGGAATAGAGGGGAACCAGCTGAGGGATCAAGGGAAGAAAACCAGTCAGCCATTCTGTGAGGGAGGGGGAGGGGAAGGATCAAAATGGGAGGGAAGTGCACAGGCTCACGGGTGACTGGTGGCGGGAACTTTACTGGGCTCACACAGTGATGGAAGAGATAAATAAAAAGTTCAGGGTTTCTGACCATGGAAAATCACTGATTTCTTCCTCCCCTCATGTCCAGAAAGGTGTGATTTACAAATGATAAATGTGTTGTTGGTTTTCCGTGTACCAGCAACAACACACGTAGCTGAAAGACATGATTAATCTGCATCTTTCGCTGGCAGTGCTGCAGGAAACTCACTATCACGCTCTTTAATTCTCAAGTCTGAAACTTGCCAAATTTGGTTGTTTTAATACCTTCACATTTGAGGTTTACATATCAAACATCTAGAATCTATTTAAATAAAAAAGACATTCCCACAATTCTTAAGTTGACCATGACAATTTAACAGACTCACCTCCGCCCCATCTCAACATCCGTCTGCGTCTCCATGGGCCTCCTCACCCTAAGCCCCCTTACAAAATGGGGCTGCACAGGCCACACCCAGATGTTCTCAGGGCTTTCCAGCTTCTTCCAAAGGCCCGTTCTTGTTCCAGAGCTCCAGACTAGCTTGCACAAATGCCTTGCCACCTTCTCCAGTGTGAGCCCTAGACAAGGACAGAGCAAGGTCAGCTTGCCACTGTGCGTTGAGGCACAGAAACGCCACATGCGAAATGGTCTCCCCAGCTAACTGTCTGTGCCCTGCGCCACAGGAAAAGAGCCTTGGTGTGGCCAGGCAGGGAGCTTTAGGAGGGTGGGTCAGTGACACTCCAGCATGCTGCTTTCCCGTGCTGTCTCTGCTGCCCCAACCTAGGGGTGACTTGGGGCATCCTAGATGCGCGAACCATGGGAGGGGTGGGAGATGCCTGTGCTTTGCCAGCAGCCTCCTGCTGCTTCTCATCAGTGTGAGGAACCAGATGCCTTTCCAGGGGGATGCCTCCCCTAATTTTCTGGTCTCTGGGGAGAACCCCGAATAAGGAGCTTTTAGAAGAAGCTGGCCACACTCCAGGCAGCAGCTAGGTCCTGCAGTGGGCTGCAGAAGTGTGCAGCTCACCCACCTTGGGCCAGCAGGGTCACTGTGCTTGCTTCCCGTCTGCAGCGCTGGTGTCTTAGACCAATGCCCCAAAGAACTGCTCAGAAAGCATCTCCCTGGCTCCTCAATGATCCAGTCATCTTAGGGAAAGGAGCATGGTGCCAGAAGCAGAGCTCAAAGATGAGCTGGAAGGTGGAAGAGCCTGGGCAGGATGACTAGCAGGAATAGGTTTCAATCCCAAACTCCAAGGGGTGGGGAGCGCGTGTTTGATGAGTAAGGGTAACATGCGGACCAGCCCGTTCCCACTGTGGAAGCTGAGTTCCCAGATGAGATTGGCGGCTGAAAGCCTGTGGCGGGGAACACTGAAGGTGTCTGTCTCAGTTCTTCAGAGGAGCAGAGGATTTCTTACCCTAGGCCAGCCTGCACCCTGCACCCAAGCTGAGCAGCACATGAGAGTGGCGCAGACACCCTCCTCATAACCACACTGGCGGCGTCACCATGAGGCAGGCACTTGTGTCAGGCCTAGGTCAAAGGAGGACAGAAGCTGCGTATTAGTCACACACACACATACATGCCCATACGTATATGTGCACATATATCCTGAGACACATATTTTATCTAGTTCAACCTACACTAGTTCTATATCATGTAATAGGTGTTTAGCACCTATAGAATGATGATAATTCACCTTCGAGTATAGCTACAATGTACAGTGCCAGTTCTTTCAAATGACTTCTTTCCTGTCCTGTTCATTGTGGTGATCCACGAAGTTCCACCCATCCCTCTGTAAGTCTTTCCCATTTTCTCACTGCGTGGAGGCTTCCCGCTGAGTCCCTGAGGACTGCACGGTAAATACGTCTTTGTGGCCAAATTCAGGGGAGCTGCCCAAGTTCTGAGTCAGTGTCCCGTAGTCAGTCTGTCATCCTTCAGGGCCGCCCCCTCCTCTGTCTCCTTAGACCTTCAACCTGGGCTGTAAGCGCGTGTCAGGCATTGAGACGCTGGCGGACACAGCCCACTGGACCTAGGCTAGGATGCCACAAACAGCCCTTCTCCTATTTCAAACCAGGCTTCTCTGCAGAAGTCACCACCACCAGGAGTCCACCTTGTACAGCTGACACACACACACACACACACACACACACACACACACAGTGGCTCCCGTGAAGCTCCTTAACGGGACAGGGAGCCTGGACGGTGGGCCACGGGATGGCCACGCGTAGTCAAAGTCACTAGATGACTTGATCACATCAGTAGACCCAGCCACTCCGTCCACCCTCCTAATTTCTGCCTAACCTCACCATTTTAAATTGGAGCCCTGTGGCAATGGCATTAACCTGTGGCAAAGTGACGTTGATGTGCCGCTTTTTTAACCACCCCTGAAAGATAAGCATTTTGAGTGAAGATGTGTGTGTCTGCGCCAGCTAGCACCCCTGGCTGTGCCGAGGTCTTACACTCCTGCATCCTGGCGCCGCGCAAGACAGCAAGTGCGTTTCCCGGGCGTTGAGCGCCCTGCGCCGCGGCGGTCACTCAGCGGCCACTGCGGGGTGAGCCCGCGCCCAGGCAGTGTGGCTGAACCACGGCCCCTCTCTCCCCTCCGGTTTTGCAGACGCAGAACATCATGTACGACATGATATCCGACTTAAACGAAAGGAGCGAAGACTTCGAGAAAAGGATCGTCACCTTGGAAACCAAGCTGGAGACGCTGATCGGGAGCGTGCACGCCCTCCCCGGGCTCATCGGCCAGGCCATCAGGCAGCAGCACAGGGACTTCCTGGAGGCGCAGGCGGACCGCTACGGCGAGCAGGGCCCGCCCGGCGCAGGGCGCTCCCGCTCCTCGTCCCGCCGGCGGCGCTCCTCCTCCACGGCGCCGCCGACTTCCTCGGAGAGCAGCTAGGCGAGGTTCAGTTACCCACAAAATAAGACTTCTTGCCATCATATGGTCAATATTTTAGCTTTTATTGTAAAGCCCCTATGGTTCTAATCAGAGTTCTCCGGGTTCGATGTCAGAATCCTGGAAACCTGAACACTAAGTTTTAGGCCAAAATGAGTGAAAACTCTTTTTTTTTTCCTTCAGATGCACAGGGAATGCACCTATTAACTGCTCTATAGATTGTTCCTCCTGTAATTTCACTAACTTTTTATTCATGCACTTCAGACAAACTTTACTACTACATTATATGATATATAATAAAAAAGTTAATTTCTGCACATATTTGTTCAGTCATTTGGCATTTTTAAAGGTCTGTGTCTCCCATTTTTTTTCAAGGTAAAAAGCCAATTACCCCATTCACTGGGATATTACACTTGCTCACTCGCTCCAACCCAGCCTACCAGGGTGCCAGTCGCAGTTCTAATTGTGCCCAAACCATGTGGAGAAAGCCTCGTAGATCCCAGCAGAGACCGCTACCTGTTCCCACGTGTATAAATACATATTTACCACATTGAGGAATACAGTTCTGTATACGTAAGTATAAATTAAAACAAACAGCGCAGATGTTGTCAGAAGTGTGCCCAGTCTGCATGGAGAAAGGAGCGGCCCTGTGAACTGCTAACTTCACCAGTTCGGGCCTGTCTTCCCACACGGGCCTTCCTTACGAGGGGCCCTAGGCCGCCTTCCTGTCCTCAGCGCTCGGACTCCGGCACGTGCCTGTGCAGAGCTCCTAGCGCACCGCGGCCATGAGGCGCCTCCCCTGGCTGCGCTCACAGAGAGGCCAGGGACGGTGGCAGCGTCAGCACCACTCACGGGCTGTGTCGCTCTTGTTTACAGCTGGTTTATGGAAAGAGAACCCACATACGTCTTTCCCACTTCACCCCAAGAATCCACTTGGCTCAGAAGCACCACCTCTGGGGGCGCAGCTGCAGGCTCCCCTCACACGGCGTGGGCTCCAGGGGGGTGGGGGGGGCCACTTCACAAGGGTTAAGACTTCACCTGGACAGCTCATGATCCCGCCTGCTTGGACGGCTCGAACCCTCAAAGACGCTTCATTTTCAGAGCAATTTGCCTTTGCCCGCCTTCTCTGTATTTGACACGATCGCCTCTGGTGTCTGTCTGACACCTTGCAAGTGGCTGGCCTACCGAGCACTTCTCTCCCCTCACGCAGTACTCGATGTCAGCAGCACCTTGCCTACTTAAGTGATTCATAACATCATAACTCTTGCTATTGTCTGCGAAGCGTGCAGAAAACCAAGCCTATCCTTTCAAGCTCAAGGACACATGACCATGATTTCTTGATACGGCATGAAAACTGCTTACCAATTATTACCCATCCAGAGTGGCTAGGCTGGAGGTGTGGGGTGGGGGGCCTCATCCATACACCTGATTTTATGTCAGCCCAGGATCAGTAATAATAATAATAATAAGTGCCAGGAAAACTATGAGCACACCACTTATAGAACCATACTGTCAAGTTAAATAAACTGGAAAGTTCTGCAGCAAGATTTTACTTTAAGGGTAAAATTAAAATCTCCCTTTATGTATCTGGGGTTACATACTAATTATCAATTATTTGGGGTAAATATTGGGTGCCAGCAAAATTTTGAAAAGAGGACTGAATTGTTGCAATGGAGAAAATTTATTCCTGCTTTTATACCTCTTGTGCCACAAAAAGGCAGAGTAACAGATAATTAAGTTTAATTATCACCTAACTGACCAATTAGCACTGCCACCCCAGAATACTAGGTGACTACTAGAGAAAGAATAATGGATCGCTCCTCTTGTAAAAAAAAAAAAGAGGGCGAGGGCCCTCCCTGGTGATGCAGCGGGTTAAGGCACAGCACTGAAAGCTAAAAGCAGCCACTTCAGCGTGAGTTCCATTCCCGGCCAGGGAGGTGACCACATAGCTCTGCAGACCTCTCCTGACCCGCCGGCTGCTCCCCTCAGCAGGGTACTTCATTGATCTGCCTGTTCTGCTCCCCACTCTGTCTCTGGTGAAACCTCTCACCACCCCTGCACTTCTGGCCTGTACCCCAGCTCTGTATGCAGAAATAAAATCTTTAAAAAAAGAACATCAACCAAATGCATAGTAGAACCTAGGAAATATTGCACATTTTCTCCCTATTTTCTTCTCTGTCGGTTATTTTCTGAGAAAGTCCTCATCAAATCATCTGTAATTATCCAATAACCAAAACATAATAATGCATGCCCAACACATGGTGGGAATAGCGAAGAGCCATGGTGAATATGAACCTGAGAAAAGAATTGGAAGTCCATAGCCCCCGTGTTTCCACTTGGCTCCACCTGGAAATTCAGGATGGCAGAATAAAACCAGCAAGAGGGGAAGCAGACCTGGGCTCTTTCAGAAAGCGGTCCCACGCTTGTTCGCGTGCACTTGAACGGCCTCCCCTCAGCCTCCTCTGTAACTCCTCCTCCCTCTCTCCTTTGTCACCTATAAACAAAAGTGAAGCCCCCCCCCCCCCGATGTGAGGGCTCTGCAAAGCCAATGCCTACTGTGCCAATGACGGTGGGTAACTGTCTCTCTGCCCCCAGGGTGGGGAGGAAGTAGGGGTCTCCCTAAGATGTGCCATTCTTACAGCTCTACCCATCTTGTCTGCCTCATTTATTTTTTTAACTTATTTTTATATCATTCATTTAGTGCCCTCTTCCATCTTCGTCATAATACCTGTGGACTTTCCACCCGTGCACCTGCCCCCGTCCACTTTTTTAATCCCATTCCCTACTTCACCCCTGTAAAATATCTCTGGTATATAGCTGTTCATTGTTTTTCACTTTTTCTTTATTATGCTTACTTCCCCCTCCCCACGTCCCTTACCCTCCTGCTATGAGTGAAACCATCTGGTATTTTTCTTTCTCATTCTGGCTTACTTCACTAAGCATGATCCCTTCCAGCTCCATCCATGTTGCTGCAAAAGGCATGAGTTTTACCTTTTTATCGCTGAGTAATATTCCATTGTTATTCTTAAAGCCCGTTACTATTCATATCCAAAGTCTATCCCCATTGTTTAGTGTGAACTAGAGTATCAGCCACTGTTGGCTTTGTCTCTGTGGCTTCAACACACTCTCCCTTCCTGGGGCCTCCCATACAATCTGTTTATAAACAAGACCCAGCAACTCCGAAGATGCTCCTGCCCTGTGTGCAGGACCTGGGCTTCGGGGACAGGGTGCTGTTAGATCCCGCAGCGGGCCACGGCTCCCTGTTTCCCCAAGTCCGTCTCCCCAGTTCCCAGCTTATGCCCTCTTCTCCGAGCCCGTGAGGCACACCAGTCCAGTCTGTGTTGCAAATGGACTGTCTAGTCAACTCACTGAGTAAAAAGATCAAGCTGCTTGACAACTGGAATCCGTAGAAGCTGTGGGTCTTTGGGATCCCCAGACGCAAGGACACAATGTGTCCCCTCACTGTCCTATCACCTGGGGCCCTGAAGGCTGGCCCTTTTTCAGACTCTGAAGCCAAATGGGGAAACAAGCCCTGTCAAGTATGCTAAACAGCATTTGTGTTTAACATAGAAGCCTGTGAGCCCCAAGGTAGGAAAGAGCAATGAGAGCACCTCAGATAATTCCCATCTCCAGTTTTGGAAACACTGAATTTTTCCCCTCAATTGGTGGCCTTTTCTCTGGTTGTGGGTTTTTCCGCTGCCCCACACAGGGCTCGGGGGCCTTGGGGTCACGCAGCAGGGTGGCTACAGAATACTCAAGGGTGAGCTGTCCTTCCTGTGGTGTCAGGCTACCACGGGGGGCGAGCTAACCTGTACCCTGGCCACACCTCATGTCTGAGCGAGCAGCTGCCAGCACATGTACTCCCACGGCACCCCAACAAACAGACACTTTCTCCCCAGCCTCCCACCAGGTCACACATCGCCCCCCTCTTCCTTGCTAGAAAAGACCTCCTCTCACTGTCTGTGGCCCAGCTGCAGAGTTAGCAACTTCTCTGGATCCATGCGCCCTGAGAAAAAAAAGTTGTAAGGGGACCAAAACAATGACAGAACCGGCTCCTTTTGGGCACCCGCAGGTGATGGCACCAGTCACCCTGACGAAGCAGGGCCAGCTGGGGACTCAAGCTGAGTCTGCGTGGGCCAACCGCAGAGAGGGTGGGGGCGCGGGGGTCTTCAGGTGGTGTGTGAGGGCGACGTGAGATCCTGGAATAAAGACAACCAAACTGTATCTTCACTGTGAAGGAGACATCAGCGTTGCTTATTAGTAAGACGCCATTTGGCAAGATGTACAGCAAGAATCTGACACCTCCTGCCCTTAGCATTCTCGAGTACCTTGTTCCGTCCAAAAGGCCAGAATTCTCATGGCGCCACCTACCAGTGCGCTGGGGGCAAGAGTGGGTGCTCGCCCGTCTCCCCCACTCTCATGCTCATAATGCCACCTCGCGTCATGCTGACTCACACAGAAAACCACCATTCCCAACTTTTACTGGGTTTACTGCTCACCAATGGAATTGTCAGTTTGAACATCCGTAATTCTGTGGGCTGTGCTGAGTCCAAAATTGCCTTCCTGTTGGTTAAACCCTGGGGAGGGTGGGCAGCATACGAAGGAAAAGTCTTTCACTGAACCGACACTAATTTTTAAGTTTGTAGAGAAAATGTATATGAGAAGGAAACACACACTTCCTTAAATGACCTGGTAAGGCCTTTTTCACTTGTTTCTTGAAGTGCACTGGGGCATGTTCACGGCATGAGGATGGCGAGTCTGTGGGGAGGAGCCCTGGCGAGAGGGGTCTGGAGTTCCTGAAGCACTGCTGTTGGCAGGAAGGGAAGCCGCCAAAGTATTCTCAATTTATTTTAGCCAAATAAATTTTGTAAGAAGCTTGTATTTGAAAAAGCTAGGGGTAATGAGCTTTCTGTCAAGAAAATTGAAAACACTATCAAACCTCTATAATTAAAATCAATGGCACTGCTGCAAAAGTAGAAAGAAGTGACCGTGAAATATCCAGAATGGGAAGCCCAGAAATAAAATGAAGTGTGCATGGAAATCCATTACATGATAAGGGGGTCGAGGGGAGAGTCAAGTCACTGCAGCAAAGACACTTCTACATTAATGGCCTGAGATAACTGGATGAATCATTTTAAAAATATCATTGGATCCTTATAAAATAGGAAAGTTCAATGGGTCAAACTGCTAAACATAAAACTGAAATGACTCAAGTTCTAGAAAATTTCTAGAGAAATTCTCTCACGCCCGGACACATTGGTGGTGGACGATGGGTGGTTCAGAGGTGGGTGCCGCATGGTAACGGTATCTGATGAGAGGAT